CCGGAACGACTAGGTGACCCCTCCCCGCGTCGGGCGCTGTCACCTGGCAGCGCTACCCCTCAGGGCTAGGACCTGGCGTTAAAGAATGACCTTGGCGCTTATATAAAAATAGATGCGATAAACCCCGGGGGATACGTGCTGAATTTGCTATTTCTTTATTGTCAGCCTTTGTAGAATCCCGTTTGCACAACCCTGCCGACTTCGCCTCCAGCCCCGAGCAGGACCTCGAGAAATTTCCCCCTGGGGGGCGCGGCCATCTGGGCCTGATAAGGCCTGGGGACGCGGATGCTGAGGGCGCCTGCGAGGACCGCGGACCTCCCTCCGCCCCAACACCTCCCTCCTAAACATCCCACTGCCACCTAGCAACTCTCAAGGGAGAGAATATATCATGGACTCCAGTCACAATCTGGAGAAGTCCTACACCCCTGACTTCATCTTGAGATAAGGAGCCATCAATTTCGATGTTGACCTTTCCTATTTCAAAACCTAATGAATATAAACGATCCTTAGACTGGAGAAAGGGCTCCACTCTTGTTTACTCCCCTTATCCTCCCACCTCACTTCACCAGGGCCTTTTTGCTAATTACACTCCCGCTGAGGAAAAATAAGCTGGCAAGCATTGAAAGCATGGTCAATTTTCTTTAAGCAATGAACGCATGGTTTAACTATACTTAATAAATGTGCTGAGAAAAAGTACTCTATTTGAATAATCTTAAGACTTCTTGCACATAAACTCTGGGGAAAAAAAATTAATCGTCCAAGGGCCATGGAATTATTTTCAGTTCATCCATATAAAAGTTTTAAATGGCTTATCATTTTCAGGATATATTCAGCAATCACAACGCCAAAGTTTCACAAATTTACTAATCAGTAAGATCAATAAATATCTCAAAAAATACTTTTTGACATAGCCATATTTGTCTCCAATTTTGTTGTTGTTTTTACAAATGGGCTTTCTGCCCCTGGTTGCACGTAAGAATCAACCTTATAGCTATTGTGTTTAAAGTGTAATATTTAATTAGAGATCTTGAATATTACACATCAAACATTTACCATTTTTAGTGTAGCGTAACAATGAGCTAGACATAATTGAACAAGAATTTTGAATAGTTCTATCCACAGCTAATCATGGAAGAATGTAGTTACATAATTTCTGAACATATTTCTAAAGCTGTATGTAAGGAGTTCACTGGGTAATCCCAAACAATTGCCATTTTGAAAAGATAATGGTTTTTTGGCAGGTAAACTATTCCCTGTGGGTTTTGAAACCTCAGGTCTTAGTGTAAAGCTAGCCAATGTGCCTTGTTTATAAAGTTTGAAATGCCAATATGTGGTTGGCTTTTAGCCATTCTTTTAGAAACCTTTGTTAATTTGTCCCCTGCAGACCTTGCTCCCAAATGTCTGGTCCCTCTAGTAGGACTCAGAACTAGTTCACCCAGCTAGACAAAAGACTGGGTTCAACAGCACATGTCAGGGTAGCTAAACCCAGCCCCCTTCCTAGAGCAACCATCCTGTTTAGACCTACTCAAGAAGTTCTCTCTCTTGCCTATGTGGATCAAGGACCCAGCTTCCATTAGGGCACTATCTGAATCCTCTTTTCTCTACTTGTAACATGACCCTGCTTTAAGAGTTTAAAAAAAAAAAAAAAAAAGTCACCATTTACTTCTCTCTTTGCCTGAGATATATTAAATCTTAGTGGGGAGGGGCTAAAAAATGGGTCTTTATCAGATTATTACATGCTGTAAATCACTACCTAAATATTTTGAAAAATGCTTTGAGGCTTTCATCTGAAAAGTTTGTAAAGGATGAAAAAGGTTATTGCTTTTTTGTTTGTTTTTGCATATGCTTGCTTTAATTGTTATGTTGTAAGCAGAAGGAAGCATGTTAAGAATTTTCATTGTATTTTTATTATATGTTTAAATAAGAATGGAACCATCTTAAATAAGAGAAGCTTGTCACAACACTGGATTTTGGTGTTTATAGAGATAATTCAAAAAAGAGCCCTTTAGTTGTACTGGGGATGAGGAATTCCTAATAACTAAAATCATGGTTAATTTTTTTGAGGGGGAGGAATCTGGGAATTGAACCCAGAGTCACTTAACCACTGAGCTACATCCTCAGCCCTTTTATTTATTTATTTATTTATTATTTTGAAACATAATAGGGTAGAATTGGGATCCTTTATATATGTTTTAAATTCTTAAAATCAGGCTGGGGTTGTGGCTCAAGCAGTAGCACGCTCCTCTGGCATGCTTGCGGATTGGGTTCAATCCTCAGCACCACATACAAAGATGTTGTGTCCACAGAGAACTAAAAAACAAATATTAAAAAATTCTCTCTCTCTCTCTCTCTCTCTCTCTCTCTCTCTCTCAAAAATAAAACCTTCTAGTTTCCTACAATGTTAAAAACACACAATAAAATTAAAAAATAAAATAAAATAAATGATAGTATGATTTTAAAAAATAAATAAATAAAAATAAATTCTTAAAATCACATTAAGAAAATTTTGATGACTGAGGCAGCCCAGAGACTTCTAGATCTATTTTATTTGCCAATCAACCAACTAATGAACTAATACTCTCAGTGGTGGTAATGAGAAACTGAGAAAACAATCATTTCTCCTGGCATTAAAAGAAGAATGCTTTATATCTTCCCCTATTGTATAAGGAAACAGTAATACTTTCAGGATTTAAAGCAGTTTTCTGACTTGGTTTTCTCTGTCAATTATTAATATCTTCAGATTTCAAATTCCTGAGTAATACTATGCATGGGAGAAGAAGAATCTGAAAAACAAGAAAAATAACAGGTTTGAGAAGCCCAGCTGCATTTATTTCTTTTGCCTTTGAAGAAAGTTTAAGACAGAGTCCTTGGTAAGTTTAGTTGGGGTTGAAGAGAAAAAACATGGTATGTTCCACGTTACTAATAAAAAATTACATTCAGATTTACATCCACTATAAATACTACAAATTATCTAGTTATCTCTTCTCCTGTTTTTTAAGACATTCAATTTCATTCAGCGTGGCAATATGCCCCACTTAGAGACTGTTTTCCTCCCCAGGCTCCTCCTGCACCTGTGATAGCAATATGGTCATTTTAGCCAATGAGATGTAAGCAAAGGATGATTAGAACGGATTCCAAGAAAGTGTTTGCTTTCCTGGAAAGAGAGAAGGAAGGATAGATGGAAGGACTCAAGTGGCATATAACTGCCTTTTGTACTTTCTCCTCCTTCCTACCAGGTCTGGGAGCAGAGTGACCATTTTGTGATCCTGAGAATGAAATTTATCTAATAAGCATGCTGGAGGCCAGAGGTGGGAACCTGCGACAATAATGGTATCATGGAGCTGCTGTCCTATTTGTTGCTTGCCAGCAATTGCAATCCTAGCTAATATTCAAAGTTTAAAACTGTTTCTTCATATAGCTAAGGGAGGAAAAGCACCCTTCTGTAGTATCTATGTCCTACACATAGTATCCTTTGATTTTGCTCTTATATTAGACAACTGCCCTTTGCCTCACCTACCTAGGGTTTGATGAAGACATACAGATCTCTGTCTATGAAAAGAATATCTTCTAGTTCTTCGCATAGTGCATTATTCATCTCAGACATTGCTTCAGTTAGTCTCCAATATTACTGGGAGAAGGGATTTCAAATGACTGCAAGAGTCCAGAACAAGTTACTATAAGTCATCACCATACCAAGTAGATAAAGAATAAACCAAAAAAAAAAATGTAATTATACCTTTATTTATTTATTTTGGTACTGGGGATTAAACCCAGAGGCACTGAACCACTGAGCCACATCCCCAACCCATCCCCCTTTTTTTTTTTTTTGAAATTTTAATATTTATTTTTAGTTTTCAGCGGACACAACATCTTTGTATGTGGTACTGAGGATTGAACCCAGGCCGCACACATGCCAGGCGAGCGCGCTACCACTTGAGCCACATCCCCAGCCCCCCCTTTTTTAAAAAATATTCTTTAGATGTTGATGGATCTTTATTTTATTCATTTATTTATATGTGGTGCTGGGAATTGAACCCAGTGCCTCAGACATGGTAGGCATGTGCTCTGTCACTGAGCCAGTACCCCAGCCCATCCTTTTTTGACATTTTATTTAGAGACAAAGTCTCACTGAGTTGCTTAGGACCTCACTAAATTGCTGAGCCTGGCTTTGAACTCATGATCAGACTCCCAAGCCACTGGGATTACAGGTATGCACCACTGCACCCAGCTACACCTTTCATTTTTAGTTAAAAGCAAGATAAAGAATCAGAGTATAGACTGTATTCTAAAATTACGTAGTCTATATTATAGACAGAAACCTGGCAATACATGTGAAAATGATGAAAATGCAAATATATTACCTATCATGTCACTCCTGTAAATTTATTCAAAGGAATCTTGTCAGAAGAAAAAAAGTTAAGTGCACAAAGATATCACTGGAACTTTTTTCAAAAGAAAGTCAAAATGTGCAAATACCTTGAATATATTATATTAGGTATACTGATATTAATCAAAGAAATAAAAAATCTCACCTATATTATTGCATGCAACCAGAGGCATTTTAAAAATTGCTAATAGCAAACTGCAAGTCTTACTGAAAAAACTATGCACCCTGTAACAGTTTGGTATGTAAAGCAGAACCCCTGTATGGAGGTGATGTATCCTGATCACCATTGTCATAATCATTGGACTACATTTATCAAACACTTTTATACCAGAGGTTCTAAATATTGCACTTAGGTTAGGGATCTTAGTTGATCTTCAAAATGTCTAATTTAAGGTAGAGTATATTATCCTATTTCACAGGTGAGAAAACAGATTTAGAGAGGTAAAGAATTTGACCTAAGTTTGTGGAGAAGGAATTTGACCCTTGTTCTGAATTACTCTACACTTTTAGAGGCTGGATTATTGGCTTAACTATACAGTTTCTCAATCATTGCATATCCAGCTTCTAGAATGTATTTATATTAAAACATTGCCCTACAATATTTCTGCTTTTTTAAAACATGGCTTTTGAAATGTCTGTTATGCCAGACACTATGCTAGATGGATAGATCCTGTGCTAGGATAATGTGATGAACAGGATGGGTAGAGCCAATAAGAACTTGGCCGGTGGAATGATAGCTTATAGCAGAGTGTGGGATGTCAAGAAATGAAGCTGGAGAAACAGGCTAGACCAATTATCTATCTGTTTTTTTTTTTTTTTTTTTTGGTTTTTGGTACTGTAATGACAGATTTGGGGGACCCCAATAGACCTCCAGGTGCCAAATCCAATGCTATCACATAAGAGTCTTTATTGCAAGTTCGAGCCTGGATTCACAAGGGTCCCAGGGAGTGAGTCCTGGTCATTTGTTGAGTGAGATTTTATAGGTTTTGGGGGGATACTCTATGCATCATAACATCACACAGCAAATCATCCCATACCACAGGAAAATCATACAACAACACTTAACATTGATTAGCACATTCACTGGCGGAAACAAGTTGGGTAGGGGTGATTGGTTAGTTCAAGAGGGGGATTCCTTTGAACTGATTGGTTTAGGCCACAAGAGGTATACATGGTTTCCAAACATGTTATCAACCACCATAAACTACTGGGGGGTCATTTGACATCCCAGGTATTTTCCCTGTCTTATGCTGATTGGAGGTTGCTAGGGGGTTGCTATGGGTCCTCACCTAGCTTAACTGATTCAGGGACACCTGGCGCAGCAGATTTCTCCTGTTATTTCTAGACAAACAACTCAGCAGGGTGGGTATGTGCTTAGGAGTGCTCTGTGGGTTTTTCCCAGGACAAGAGTCATGCCCCTTTCCTTAGGACAGGGCTTGAGGTAGAAGCTGGTTTCTTAAAAATGGAGTCACATCAGTTTCTCAGTACCAAGGATTGAACTCAGGGGCACTTGAGCACTGAGCCACATCCCCAGCCCTATTTTGTATTTTATATAGAGACATGGTCTCACTGAGTTGCTTAGTGCCTTGCTTTTGCTGAGGCTGGCTTTGAACTCGCAATCCTCTTGCCTCAGCCTCCTGAGCTGCTGGGATTACAGGAGTGAGCAACCATGACCAGTAAGACCAGTTATCTTTTTTTTAAAAGTTCTGATAGGCCATGGTAAGGAACATGGACATAAGTCCAAGACAATAGTGAGCCATTTAAGGAATTCAAATTTCAGAGTGATAGGACCACATTTGTATGTTAGCAAAGAAATGGCAGTGTGGTCTAGAAGTGACCGTGAGGATGGAGAAAAGTAAAGAGCTCAAAAGTAGAAGATCAAATCAAGGACTTGGCAGAATGTGCAATGTAACAGGGAAGCCTGCTACATTTCTGGCTCCAGCTACTGGATACATAGTGTTGTTATTTATTGAAATAGGAATCCCTTTAGAAGGAGAATGGGAGGGGAGTTAAATTCATGAATTCCCTTTTGTTTACATAGAATTTTATGTACTTTTGGGACGTCTGGGTGGGACATCCAATATAGTGAAGTCTTTAGGACCTCACTCAAGGGTGATACTGGACTAAAGCATACAGAAAGGGAGTCATCAGTACAGGGATGGTAACTGAAGCCATGGAATAAGGGACCTTGCTTAAAGAGGAAGGAGGAGAAAACACAGCCCAAGCAAAATCTAAAAGGGCCCAATGAAGGAATATACGAAGAGGGACAAAGTCCTCAATGGAGTAAAATGCTCCTTTTAGAATTTGTCCAAAGAACTAATTAAGGATAAACACAAAGATTTGTCTGCAAGACTATTTCAATATTGTTTGTAATGAGAAAACATTCGTGGCAAGGAAAGGAAGGGAAAACCAAATGATAAGACAGTTGTTAAATAAATGTTGGAACATCCATATCATAGAATGTTATACAGTCTTTAAATCATATTGCTGAAGAATGACATGGGAAAATGTTAAATAGAAAAAGCATCCATTTAAAAATAATGACTCCACTTTTGCTTTTAAAATTATGCTTAATTATGCAGATATATTCACAGAATATTTAGATCACGAAGATTTATATAAAAATCTTAACATCAGAAGTTGGAGATGGATTAGAAACAAGTAAGATAGGGTAGTGAGTTGCTGGGTGGATGATGGTATTTTGTTTATTAGATTTTTATCCTTTTTCTATATTGTCCTTTTGTTATTGAAATCTCGGTCCTTGTCCACTACATCAATCCAATAAGAGGAAACGATTTTGAGAAAAGGAAAAAAGAAGTTTTATTGTTTTGCTAGCAAAGGAGAAACACAGGGGACTCCTGTCCTAGAGGCTGTGATTCTACCCATCAGAAAAACCTGAGGGCTTTTAAAGACGCTCTTCAAAGGCTACATTTCAGGTGTGCTCTGACAGGGCGTCCCAGGAGCACCTTGATGGTGTGTTGAAATTAACTTGTTAATTTGGGACATAGTCATTTCCTTGTTCTTCTGGTGACATCTCCTTCCTATGGAGAACAGATAACTCAAGGTTGTCTTGTTCCCCACTCCCAGGCTAGGGAGGGGAACAGTGCAGTACCTTGTCATGCTTCCTCAAGTCTTGAAGTATAACACCAGGGAAGCACACTAAGGCAAGTGTGGAGTAGAAAATAAGAAGTTTGGGCTGGGGATGTGGCTCAAGTGGTGGCGTGCTCCCTTGGCATTCGTGCGGCCCAGGTTTGATCCTCAGCACCACATACAAACAAAGGTGCTGTGTCCGCCGAGAACTAAAAAATAAATATTAAAAAAAAAAGAAGCTTAAGAAAAAAAAAAAAGCTTTATTAAAGGAGAGTAAACCAGACTCCCCCTGCCCTGGAAGAAGGGGACCCATAGGCAGAATCCTGGGATGAGGAAGTCCTGTCCTTTTTTACATGTAAAGTTTCCCTTAGTCTCTTGCATTCTTCTCCTTTATCTGGTTCATTTCCCCTCATCCTGCTTAATGACTGGGGGATGTTGGTGGAATGACCAGGAGGTGAGCAGGTGGGCTGGAGGGGCCTAGGTGGAATGCTCCGCAGCCCAGGGGGTATAGATTAGCACCTCCCAGTCTGCTCAGGAGTTGCTTCATTAAAAAAGTTTTGGGGAGAGGTATTATATTCCATTCTCCCAGGGGCTGTTTCCAATTTCCTGGACTGTAATTGGACTCCATTTTCTCCATCAGACCCGATTTACCTGGTACACTGACAACCTGCCTTTAAATCTGACTTCAAGTGCTAGGGATATAGCTCAGTTGGTAGAGTCTTGCTTCACATGCACAAGATTCAATCCCCAGAAATGCCAAAAAAAAAAAAAAAAATCTAGCTTCAAAAGGAAGAGAATAAGGGCTGGGGATGTAGCTCAAGCGGTAGCGTGCTCGCCTGGCATGTGTGCGGCCTGGGTTCTATCCTCAGCACCACATACAAACAAAGATGTTGTGTCCGCCGAGAACTAAAAAATAAATATTAAAAATTCTCTCTCTCTCTCCTCTCTCACTCTCTCTTTAAAAAAAAAAAAAAAAAAGGAAGAGAATAAAACAAGTCCCTTTCAAAATAAGCAGCAAGTGGACCCAACATGGCGGCCGGCGAGGAAGCAGCACTTTCAGTACCTTCACAGTAACGGGATCAGAGAGACACATTAATACGCCTAGATTCTACCTGCTGAGAAACATCTAGCAAAATTCCGCGGAAAGGAGACCTGCCAGGAATTAGTAAGTTTATTGGAGGTGTCAGTTTGTCCCAGACAAGTGAATCCCGGCCACGTGGCTCAGAGGTCCAGTCCTGCCGGCCGCCGCCTGCCCATTGCGGCGAACATTCCAACGGCCGCTGCCTGCCGGGCTCTGCAAACGGCTCCCGCTGGCCCAGCTCTGTGAACAGTGGCCCGGCGCTGCAAACGGCCCCGCCCGCCTCAGGTGAACGGCCCCGCCCGCACGGCGCAGGAGGCCTCTAACCAAGCCTTTATGAAATAGTGAACTGGGCTGAGGATGTGGCTCAAGCGGTAGCGCGCTCGCCTGGCATGCGTGTGGCCCGGGTTCAATCCTCAGCACCACATACCAACAAAGATGTTGTGTCTGCTGAGAACAAAAAAATAAATAAATAAATAAATAAATATTAAAAATTCTCTCTCTCTCTCTCTCTCTCTCTCTCTCTCTCTCTCTCTCGTCTCTCACTCTCTCTTTAAAAAAAAGAAAAGAAAGAAATAGTGAACTGGGAACTAAAACCAGAGATTGAGTCAGACCAGAGACAAGCCAGTCTCACCCCTCCCTTCGGACACTCTGCCAAGGAGCCAGGGGCCCGCCATCGCAGAGAGGGGAAGTCACCAAAGTTCGACAATGAGATTCCTTCTCAGCGGAATCTACTTTAGCAGGTGTGTGACTCCCACCCACACCAGATACAAACAACCGGGAAACTTCAAAAATCTCTCCATGGGTGTGACCGTAAGGGCCAAGGGACTCCCGACCCCCAACTCCCCCTACCACCAGTGACGTGGGTGTGACTGTAGGGGCGGAGGCAAGCAGAGAAGACTCCCCACCCCCAACTCCCCCAACCGCCAACAGAGAGGACTTGACAGTAGGGGCAGAGGGAAACAGAGGGCACTCCTGAACCCCAACTCCTCCTACCGCCAGCGGAGGGGTCGTGATTGTAGGGGCTGAGGGAAACAGGGGATTCTCGACCCCCAACTCTCATTACCACCAGTGGCGACAACCAAGGTCTTAGTCACCAGCTTCCGAGGGTGTGCCCACCAAAGGGGTCTGGAAAAATTAAACTATTGACTCCCAGATCACAGCTCCACAGCACTGGGGCTTAGATGAACGATAGAGAGAATGCTCAGTCGTTCGGGAAATAGGGCACACAGTGGGGCTGAAAGTGTAACCAGATCCTTGGGGAATTAAACAAACAAATTCAAATGGCTAAGAACGAGCTTTACCAGGAGATAGAGATCTTAAAAAAAATCAAACAGTAATCTTAGAAATGCAGGAAACTATAAACGAAATTAAAAACTCAAACGAGAATATTAAAAATAGACTAGATCAAGTAGAAGTCAGAACATCAGATAATGAAGACAAAGTTTATCAACTTGAAAAGAATATAGTCAACACAGAAAAGATGCTTAAATCCCACGAGCAATTTATTCAAGAGATATGGGATGTCATAAAAAAAACAAAATTTAAGAGTCATGAGGATAGAAGAAGGCATTGAGATTCAAACCAAAGGAATGGACAACATATTAAATGAAATAATTCAAGAAAACTTCCCAGAGATGAAAGATGGAATGGATTGCCAAATCCTGGAAGCCTACAGGACCCCAAACATTCAAAACCATAATAGACCAACTCCAAGACAT